ATCAATAAATAAGTCTTATTGCTTTGGAAATTACGGATTAATATATCTTAATCGGAAAATGTCAAATAATCGATTCGAATGATACCATGATTTGCCATGCTTTTCTTCCTGCATAAAACTAACTCGAATCTGTCAATCATTTTACTCCAAATGAATATTTGCGATACTTTGCTGGACCAAATCGCCGTGTGCACATTTGCCTCCGCATGCCTGCCTCCTCTTACATTTCACTCATCGCGTACGTATAAATCGCTTCTAGCGCATGATAACTGCGGAATAAATAACTTGCGCATATGCACAAGAAAGTATAAAGATTTAGCAAAAAGATAGAAACTATAAAGTGAGTGGTACTTTAGCTGCGATCAGCGCTCGAAGTTCACAAAAAGCACGTGTGTACGTGCGTGTGTGCGCGCTTATGCGCTTACCGCTTCACGTGAGTTATCACAATTTTTCATTCTGAGTATCATACGATACTTCAGGACGACTTTTGCACCAGACTTTAACTGTAAATTTTCTTAACAGACAAAGGTTGATCATTGCTGCAACCAATCTATTTCACATTAATCTTGAAAACATAATAATAGAAAAAATTCTTATGCATAAATTGTTAAAGGTGGTACAATTAGTGAATTTCGAGTGGATTTGTAATATATAAAGTAATTAATTTAGAATGGTTTTATGGATTTTTAAATTGAGTCGTTAATGTGAATTTTCATTCAACAACATAACTAAAGCATTCTTCGTTTTTTTCTTCTTTTTTTTTCTTTTCTTTTTCTTTTTTTTTTTTTTTTTGGTAATATTTTCAATTTGCTCGTTAAATCTCGTTAAATAATTTAGTGTTCAAAATTTAAAAATAAATATATAAAAATATGAAAACATTAGAGGTGAGGAATGATGTTTGCAAGCTGGAGATTCTCCGATAATAATTTTGCAAATCGGGCAAATTTAAAAGAAATACAAATACTTTGATGAAAAAAACTTGTATAAAAATTATGTTCGAATAGATAAAGAGTATTGACAAATGATAAAACTTTTTATTAGAAATATTATACATTATATGATTAATATTAAATTAAAAATAAAAATGAAAATCATCAAGAAAATGCTTTGCTAACGTCGTTTGATTATTATTTTATTATTATCAAATATAATTAAGATTTTTCTTTATTCGACTAGATTAAATTAAAACACTAATCTGTGTAATATATATTTAAGCTAAAAATCAATTTTAATATTAATCCAATATATTTAGAAGTGGATTATTTAAATTACTACTTATTGCTTTATTAATTATTCCTCTATGTAATTATCATGTTGGAGAGAGAATATAAATTAGGATTAAGTGATTATAATTTTTACAATATTATAAATATACGGTTTAAAGCAAAATCAATCATTTTCTATATTCTTTTATGCCCTGAATATTTATTACTAATTTATCAATTTATTCGCATACTTGTTTAATGACACACTTTGTGCGTGTCAATTAAATACATAAATATAGATGAATATTTTGTTAAAGGAAATTGCAACGTGTATAAGAAAACAAAATGAACGAATATTTGAGACGTAAAAATTATTTACTAACATTTAACGTGAATTCAATTGCTCACAAGTCGGTAATTTATATAATATTATATTAAAAATTAAATTTAAAACTGAATAACTCATGTATTTTATAAAAATTATTGCTTAATCTATAGCTTAACTCTAAAATGATAATTTATCATTTTGTTAAAAGATATGTTTAAAAAAACAAAAATAAATAAATAAATAAATAAATAAATAATAATAATAATAATAATAGGTGCAAGTTAATATTCTATCCAACAGATTTTGTCTACGAAATTTTTGGTAACTATGCCTTCCAATTAGACATATGCTACAATCAAATGTAATTATTACATTTCTTAAAATCTTACTTTCGAGTCATACAATTCACAAGAAATTGAACTTAAGCAAATGCTTTGGTTTATCGATGCTTTATTTATTAACTAATCTATTTATTTACTACGCCATACCTAATACTTATATAAAGCAATTTTACGCACTGAGAAATATTGATAAAAATTTTTTATTCTATTCGCTTTTAACGATATAATTATATATTAGAAAATTAAAGAAAATATTCAAACTTATTAGAAGACTAAGCAATATATATATATATATATATATATATAATATATATATACTCGAAAAAAATTAAATTTCATTTTTCGCACTTTTATAATTTTACGATTATACAGGAATAATATTAGTAAATGGCCATTATAAAAACAACATTATTATTATTGCAATTTAAATAGATTATTGAGTACTCGTTTGAAAATTTTATAATTATTTTGATGTAAAGTGCTGAATTCCGATTGGCAAGTACTAAGGACATAATTTTTTTGTCAATAAACTCAACGTATTTTTAAATGTCGCAGTATCTGCTTTTTGAAATTTTAAATGGTTTGAATGAAAACTTAAAAGTAAAGCATTCGTTCTCTTAATTATATAAAATTATATTTCATATTATGAATAAAAGATTGATTTTTTTTTTTTCAAGTATCATAAGTACATAAATATTTATACATATTATATAATTAATAATAATTATATGTAATATTTTACATGCTAAAATTCTCATTATTAAACACGACTGTAGAATATTTCTTAAAAATTTAGATGTGGTATTGAAATGCAAAGGTCGAGAGTTCCAAGCGAATATAGAAAAGATTGAAAAAATATATAAATTAAAATTATAAATGCACGAGTAATTTAATCTAGACAAATATTATATACATAATTCATTGAAATACTATATATTTCAATAAAATTAAATAAATCATATTTTGTTAAATAGTTACCATTTGACGGAATTATACGTCATAGTTGTGTTACAATAGAAATTTGTATCATTTAAATTTTCTTATAATTATATTATGATTAATAAAATTAGTATATGCATTTCATATGTACAAGGAATTTTATTTTTTAGTTTTTACAGAGATATTCTTTAAGAATGTAGATTTTATATGAAATATGCCGTGTACTATGTTAATGTCGAAAAATAAAACTAACTCACCATATATAGTGCGGAAATCTTTTAAAAAATTGTGAAAGTATCTGCAAAAGCCGCTCAATGCCATGATATTCTTATACAATGTTCTAATTATATAAAGTTAATAAATGTATTATTTTCAGGATAGAGATAGTTTACAAATGAAAATGCATTCGAATGATCAGTATAATAATGTTATTAAATATTTATCTGGCTATTGTTGCGCGACATTTAATTCTATAATAAATTTCAGCGTTAAAATAGTTTTAAACAGCTTTGCTTTCTTTCATATTTTTAATTACGCGCATACTTAAGTAACAGAAAATTTGTAATTTGAATTCCCGTACCAAAGCCATTATCTATCTCTATCCGTTCTTAATCGGAGTCCTGAATTAAAAGGACACGTATATTACACCATTCTCCACATTATATTATAATTTCAGTAACTTTCACCAGTTTGGAATTTTCATAAAACAATCTTAAACCCCTTTCCCATGCATACCGACTAATGTTCTCGATTTGGCTTAAGTCTCGTTGGAATTTCAATCTGACGAATAAAAAAGAAATTTAAGAAAAAAAAAAAAGAAAAAAGAAAAGAAAGAAAACAAACAGAAAAACGTTGTGCAAGAGATATAAAAATAGACGTTCTATGTCGATCCAAATACAGGACAACGAGAGTGTGGTAGTGAGCGAGGGCTGGGCGGGGTTGCTGGCGAGCATCGGTCTCCTCGTGGCAGGCGTCGCCGAGCTTTTCGTTTCCGGTTATACCTGCGCGACCCTCGCACCAGAGCTTTGCAGCTGCCTGAGGCCATCTAACGATGACACCGAGACCACAACCATTGACGGCAAGACCTTCAAGACCCGTAATATGGTTCACCAATGGGTTATAACGCAGAACCACATGCCCAAAAATCAACCAATCTACGTGGTCCAGCCAGTTGTACCAGTTCATCCTCTCGTGCAGGTACGTCTAATGAGCTCTCCATCTAAAATATTCTTAATTAACCTTTATATTTGGCTTGTTATATTTATTTTTAACGTTTCACGCTATTAAATAAAATGATAACTGTATGTTTTTGAGAGTTTCAGGATTAATTGTAGGTTAGATTGAATGAAAATTATAAGTATTCATATTTATAAATTTAGGTGGACTTTTATATAAATGTCATATATAAATTGTGCTATGGCATTTAATAATTTCGTAAACAAAGAAAAAAACTTAAATTAACGCATTTCTAATGTCAAAGTTGACCGATCTCTAAATGTTTCAATTGATAAAAATCGTTATAAAAATTAATTACAACTATCTTTTAGCTATTATTTAACTATCTTAAATTCCATATGATATATATTAAGTTCAAAAACAAAATTCCCACTAAAATTAATTAATAATGAATGGAAAGTTACGTTTTATTCATATGTAAATTTTCATAAGTAACGTACTTTGACAAAATAAATTCTTTTTATTTGAAAAATTTAGATTTATTCTTTATTATATGATTATCATACCGCCTACTTTCTATAACTGCAAAAGTTTTTATCGCGGTCTTTCTTTTCCATTAATGCATCTACTTTCTACTCTAAACTTTTATTTCATTAATTTTCTGTTGCATTTTCTATGTATAATCATTGCAGCATTTCATCAGAATACAATTTAACAAAACGAATGAATGATTGTTTACATTTATTAATATTTGTTTACAGAATAAAATATACTACTAACCAATACGTATAGACGAAGGAAAATTAAACGAATAAATGAAACGAAACAAGGAATCAGTTTATTCTCAAGATTCTCAATCGCACGACAATATAATGAGATATTAATTTTCATATCATTGAATCAATTATGTAAAACATAATAATGAAAGAAATTAGAGAATTCTATATATATTTGAATGTAACCGTGGCAAATGTAATTAATAAAAAATGCGCGCAAAAAGTCCATAACGGTAATCGAATGACTTTTTACCTACAATCGCGTTTAATATCAATACCGTTTAATATTGCATAATACCAAAAAAAAAAAAAAAATAAATAAATATGTCGTGTGATGTATAAATTTTCCTCGCATACTGCATAATACCGTACTAAACAATATTAAAATAGAGCACTGATAGCCGTTTCCGCTGTTTCACTTCGCTTTATCTTTATTTATTTATTCTTTTTTTTTTTCGATTAACCAATTTTCATTTTCTTGTCAGCAAACATAGAGAAAAGAGAAATTCACACAACCAAAACATCCAGCGATAGCTTTCCCACTAAAACTCGGTTACAACAAACTTTATATCTCTTTCATTTATATTACACGTCGCTGCCGAAATATCATTAATTTTCTCTTTTTCGACGTTCACGCACAGTTCACAGTTCCGCCTAAAATCCAAATATTTATTATAATCGAGCATTATGAAAAATATCATTTATATTCTCATATTGTCTTCGACATTAATAGGTCGACATAAGGTAGCAATAACATAAAGCTCGTGTATTTAAATACCATATCATGAGGTTTAAAATTCTAGCAGCTTTATTATTTATCATTATTGTCAAAATTAAATTAATACCACTATAAAAGCAATTGCTGCGCGTGCAAGCAAAAAAATTATCGATTTCTGACGTTTATTAAATAATAGCTTATTTTATAATACAGTATGGTGTTATTACTACTTAGTACGCTGATATCTGACAAACGGACACGAGGACATACTGGAAATTTTAATTTCTTATCTATGAAAGGAATGTTTGTGTGCATAATATAGGAAATATTAGAAACCGTGCGTATATAGTGTGTAATGCTATTAACATCGAATGCCAAACTATGAATAATTTATTAGTCCGTGTTATAATAATATTCGATTATCATAAAAAGTTTCAAATATTTTCTTCCTTACATAATTACTTCGGAATACACGGGATAACAAGTGTAAATAAAAATAAAAGTTGGATTATCAATTTCACAATATTAAAACATTAATAAAAAAAAAAAAAAAAAAAAAAAAAAAAAAAAAAAATAATAATAATAATAATAAATAAAACAAAATAAAACAAAATATCCAATATATCGACATATACATATTGCGTGAGCGCGTGTGCACGTATTTGTGCAACGCCGTCCTTTATATGTGCGATTTCTCAAAAACTATTCCCAAAGAAAAACACTCAACATTTGAACAATCCAAACTATCGCTGCACTACACTATTTAGAAATATATGGCGTATAAACCTAATGCCCCTTTCCTTTTAGCTCTCTCCGCGCTTTTCTTTCGATGATCACTGCACACGATCTCACAATCTGCGAGCGGCTTATCGCCTATAGAGACGCTTGACCTCGCGAGTCCCAAGTCCCAAAGAGAATCAGTTAGTGACACGTTAGAAAGTTCAGGAGATGAAACAAAATGACCGACATTCACCAAGCTTATCCTATAACCTATTAGCTACTCCATTTTCAAAGGATAAATTCCTAAGGCACGAAGTCACTGATATCTAAGCACTCGTATAATCAATCATGACACGATCGATTAATTTTATTCAATATAAAGTCTAATTAACAAATCAATATTAATTAGCATCACAAAGGCTTTAAGCTACATTAATTATTATGTGGGTTACATTTTAGTTTGTCAACCGCGTTTATCGGAATACATTCTATATATTCTTACATTTGTAACATTATATGAGGGCTTTTATTTTTTTAATATAGTTAAACGAAAAATCCGAAAACCCTGATTGACGAACTTTTTATAAAATTATATCGTTAATATAAACGAAGAATTATGATGAATTATGATGAATTTCGTAGGGATAGTAATAATAGAATTAATTCCTAATTTTTTTCACCAAGGACTTTTTGCAAACAATGTGAGTGATTTGGATAAACTTATTATCCTATTTGGAATAAATTTTTTACTTCTAAACAACTCTTATATTACTTTCTTTCATTCCTTTATATTATAAAATAATGATATAACAACAAATAGAATATTTTGCATTATTATATTACATTATTATTATATCATAATTATCGTAAATACGATTTCTTTCTTATGAAACTTGATTTAAGTCAGTTTATTAGTTTTAACATTACTATATACTAATATTACATAAAAAGTAATATTATAATGCAACATGTAATTTTTTTCATGCTCTTTTTATAAATATTTTTCAGCTTACAATATTTATGATAATTTTTTATTTTTAACATTAATAGAGACGCATATGTCCACAATAATGAAAAATGTAAAATCATACTAATATGTATAAAACTTAGCATATTGGTTAAATTATTTAAACTAAAAAAATAAGCAAAACCTTGTAATAAAGACATTTATGAGGTTGCAAACAAAATTAAATAATTATTTCTTGTTTCAATGAAAGTCTTTTGTAATTGTACATGATGAGTAATATAATGAGTATCAGAATGTAATGAAAAAGAAAAGAATTGAAATATTTTTCTTGTGCCTGATTTCATTTGTATATAATACCATCGGTTTTAGTACTCAAAGTAATTACTCGATACAAGAATAAACTTCAACCAAATTGTAAAACATTTTACCAATGCCTTACTTCAGATTATCTATATTTTTACGAACGAAACGTGCTGCTCGCAAACATAAAATCCTTCACAAAAATCTCCTTTACATTCGTTTCAACTACACATTAAAAGAACATGTGTATTTCTTCAATATACCATTTCTTCATCGTCAACTCATCGTCAACAAAACATATTACATAAATAATTTAGAGAAAAAATAGTCTGTAAAGGAGAAATATTCATAATAGTTATAAAAAGCAAAGTATAGAAATAAGTGTCAGAAAATAGTAAAGTTAGACAGAAAATAGCCCCGAGCGCTCGAGTGCCTACATTTAGGAATTTCGAGGACGAGCGCTCTCTTCTTTCCTTTCTACTTGCTCTCTTCGTCTTTTCCAATAGCTACTTTTCTCATATATTTTCATTTGTAAATATTGTTCCTATCTCATCCGATAGAACATTTTTATTTTCGCATCTCTGTTTCTTGTAAAAACTATTTTAATCAACGGTCAATATACTAATTTATCAAGTTTCTCGGTTAGAATTATTATTATTATTCTTTTGAAAAAAAAAAAAAAAACATAATTTGATCAACAATAATTGTATACTGCTGAAAAAAGTTTAAAAAGCATTTTTATAGTTTCAAAAAGTTAAGATCAACAAGCATCTTAGCGATGAACTTCCTTTAATTATCGATTGATATTGGATAAATACTTCAATCACCTTATAGATCATACGATGAGACTTTTAAAACTCTTTTTACAAATACATCCCTTGCATTATTACTACACATAATACGATTTTAAACCGATTTTCTTCAGTATCGATAAAATAATTGTCGAAAGCGTGGTCTAATATAATAAATATCTATGTTAACAATATAACGTATTGTTTAGATATTTATTAGTCAGGAATAATCAATACCTTTTTAAAATCGATTATACAGTTATATAAAGGAAAAAAAAAATTTACATGTAATTTTATAATAAAATAAAATTATTGCAAATAATTCAAATAATCGCATTTTTACGCTAAAAGTTCTGTATGTTTTTTTTTCATCTGAAAATAAAAGATTAACTATAAATTTATGAATTTAAATTGAAAAATTGAAATCCGCTCGTGGCTCCTTGCGTAATTTATCACATTGACGCCAAAAGTTGACGTCTCTAATCACAAAAACAAGATCTCTCGCGCATATGTTCGTATCACGCTATCATGCACGGAAATTTATGATTTATCATCCATTATACCGACTGTCATGTTATCGATATGATTAAGAATTCGGAATTTTCTAAAAAAGAAATGGGAAATTTAAAAAAGAGTACAGATTGAATGAGTATCGGAAAGAAATTGATACATGTACGATCCTAATTAGGTCATTAATCTTCCTTGAATCGATTAATTTTCAGATAATCAGCTAAACAAATACCATAAATTGTCATATTTTTTGTCATAATTGTTACAATTAGCTATATAGTCACTAATCAATATCTCAGTTCTATTTAGCTTGAAAAAGTTAAAGTTCCCAACCTAAATTGGACTGGAGGTGGCCATTAGAACAAAACTTTATAATTGATCAAATATTAAAAAAAAAAAAAAAAAAAAAAAACACTGATTTTACACCTAAGGATTAACGTACCTCGATTCAGTTATATTTGCCGTGTCACAGAATGCGTTAATTATGCAATAATATTAAACGTCTATTACATCTTCCAAATGTCATTATTTATCTTAGTTTGTTTGTTTATTCCTAATATAAATTTAGGACAGTTGGCATTAGAAAGTAAAGACATAAAATTAATCTCAATACTTATAACACATGAAATAATAAAAGTGCTCCTTAAAAAGAAATTGAAATCTACGATAAAACAATATTATTAAACCTGAACGTAAAAGGAATTTATTAGCGTTACCGATGTAATAACAAAATTTCCTCTTACGTAACAAGATAAAAGTAAAATTCTACTATTTCCTTTTATTTCTTATTTTTACAACCTTTTACTCCATCAAACTCCAAATAATACAAAATATCTTAACTGAGCGATTCAACTGGCCGCATTAAGCATAAAATTGTAAAAACGAGCGAAGCAAATCATTTTGAGCGCCCGATCATCGTGTCCTCTCAACTTTGTCATCTGCTCTTTATAGGCTCCGTACGGAATGCATCCGCCGCCAGGAAAATTCCCCGGTGGCTTTCTCACGACCCCAGGAGGGGCCCCAGCTTACGGAACCGTGCCAATACTTCCGGCTCACTTGGCCTACCCTGCTCGGCCACCTTCGCAAATTGTAAGTCACGAGGAATTAACGAAGGCAGGTCCCCGAGCATTATTCCTTCGATGCGAATTAAATGCTCACGTCAATGCATTCGATTATCCACGTTCGTGGCACGATTAAAAGACAGAGATAGAGATAGAGAGAGAGAGAGA